GATAATCAGATACTAGCTTGCACTTCAAACCAGAGAGAAGAGCTACACCTGTAGGTCCTGATTTAACTGGATGCCTTCATAACAATCTTGGTGAATGGTTGAAGGGTTCTGGTTAATGGAAGCCTGCTAGGAGAAGCAGGTGGAGAAGTGACCTCTAATAGTAAATCAAGCATGTTTGGAAGCTGCTTTATGTCCTTAACCTGGGTGACCCTCAGGCCTGGAGTCACAGTTTGGATACCTGGGAGAATATATATTATTAGAAACCAAATAACCCTTGCACAACACCTGGAAAAGAATTTTTTTTTTTTTTTGGTTTTGGGATAGAGACTAAAACTCAGAGAAGGCTATAATCAAATGAACCTTTAAGGCATGGCTCTTGAACTCCAGCATTCACCAGAATCACCTAGAAGACTTGTTAGAGCACAGATTGCTGGCCCCATCCCCAGGGTTTCTGAATCCCTTGGTCTGGAGATGGTCGGAGAACCTGTAGTTCTAACAAGCTCTCAGGAGCTGTTGGGGCGCTGGTACTGCAGGTCTGGGGACCACACTTTGAAAACCAGTGCTTTAAGGAATACCGAATAAAAGGATATGTATCTTCCTCACAGAAAACTATGATTTGTCCTCAATGGAATCTAATCAGAAGGGTTACATGCAGTTAAAATTAAAAAATGAGCAATGACCACTACCGTTAATTTGGAACAGTCAAACTAACCTCACAAAAGCCTTCTCCAATGGAAAAAGTAGGAAACTCTTTCCACGGTACACACTGGCTTTACTGGCTGTGGTCTCAGTCAAAGCACAGAATGAACCTTGGCCAGCAGCATGAGGTCTCTCAAGCTTGCAGCTGTTGGGAGGAGGCTGCTCTGCCAGTGACTCTGGGCAGGAAGTTCCTCGTTAGAACTGATGCTTCTCTTTTATTCAGCTCAGAGGGAAAAGAAGAAAAAGAGGCAAGAGCCTCTAGGCTTCTCCAAACTTCTTTTAACTATCTGACCTCCCCAAAGCCACCATGTAAGATGGTGGCTTTGCTGCCATGGCTGCTTGACTTGTGGTAACTGGCAGCTCGAGGTTCAGGGTGATGCTAAGCCATAAATCACACCTATATCTTCACTCATGGTGGGCTGACAGCATAAATAAAATGAAAATCCAAAATGACAGACAAGCACAGGGCACTGAGACCGAAAAATATCTGAAATAAGGCCACTTTGCACCTGATCCAAACTGCCAGGCAGCAGTCCATAAAGAACATTAAGCAATAGTGTAACTTTCATGAGAAATAGCGCACATCAAGTTCAACGGGACTTCTCACAATGCTGCTTTCCAGGACCCTGCGTCAGATAAAGAATGGAGCACTCCCGCAGTTTTTTCTTTCAAATAAACAGTTTAAAATGTATGTTGTTGATGACAACACAGCTTCCGTGTTCATATCCTTTTACGGAACGCCTGCCATTCTTCATTCCCTTATTCCACCAAGGGCTCAGCAATAACGGGCAAACAAAATCTAAACTAGCATTACCACTACCCTAGGGATACCACTGAATGAGAGTTACGCAGTATGATCTGATAATAGCTGGCTTCAAGAGCTGAAAAGGAAAACAATGTCTTGTAAAGGGGATATACTAGACATTTAGATTTTAAATCCTATGTGCAACATGACACACAGTTTGGGAATTGCTCTTTTGGCTTTAGGGTAAAAAAAAGTGATAGAAATAGGCTATGATATATGAAATACATTTAAATACTGCTTTAAAATATAGCTGTGCATCATCACACAAGGATGAAGAGAAACAATCTTGTTTTACCAAGAGAAGCCTTTCGTACCTGGTTAACAGACCAGCCCACATCATTAGAAAAAAACGTAAGCGTTTCATGTGTTAATCTCACTAGCTCTTTATGGTGCCATTATCCTGATGTCTTGCAAGGCATGCACAGGACAAGCGAGCATGACTCCAGTCCACAGGCTTGCCCAAGTCAAGGACATAAAGCTCCTTCCAAAGGTCCTTGAGGAAATGACTATGGATCCCGGGGAAAGAAATGCGAGACAGTGGGAGGGAAAAATATTTCCAATTGAAATATAGCATGTCAAGAACAAAGAGAGGCTGCCTCATGTGTCAAAGAATATAACGTGGATTTAGCCTTTCTTCAAAGTTTGATAACTTTTTATGGGACACTGTGAATAAAACTGATATTTTTAGTAAAAAAAAAAAAAAAGAATAGAGAGGTGCACTATAATGAAGTACAAATTTTCACACTACTGGCCAAGTTTTTTTCTTTTAAAAGCCAGTTGAACTCTCCGTGGCTTCAAATGATTCAGAAATCCACCTGACTCGAAATTGAAACATTTGTAAGGAAAAACAAAAGGAAACTAATTTGATGGAGAAAACCTGATACTTAAAACATTAGACGTGTCCTGTCGTCACAGGAAAAGCCCATAAACAATCCCCAGGAAATAAAAATAGAATCCGGGTAATAAAGTCTAACCTTTTTTCCGCGTGGCGCTTAGTCTAGTTCCACTGGCCCACAAGGTGCCGCTCGCAGAGGCCTCCAATCCGGCGTTTCAGACCAGAGCTCCCCGGGAGAAACGCCTGCCCCGACACCTCAGCTCAGCGGACTGTGTGGAAAACGGCTGCTCACGACCCTGCGATTCAAGATGGCGGATGCGGGCCGTGCGCAGAGACTCTGCGCCCGGCACTGTGATCCGGGGCCTGAGCAGCGCAGCTGCACCTGCCTTGCAACAACTCCGCCTCCCTCTCCTCTGCCAAGGTCCCTATAAAGAGGGCCGGCCCACGGCCAATCGGGAGATCGCGTGCTCTAGAGCTCTCGCCTCTCCATTCTCTGATTAAAGAATAGAGCTTGTCTGTGCTTCTGAACCAAACTTGGTCTTGTTCTATTGGCTTGATCAACACTGGGCAGAAGGACCCTTGCTGGGGACTGGCTCTGGAGGATTCGTAACACTTAAAAAATAAAGGTATGATTTTAAGAAAACATTAAGTCAGGATTTAAAGGAGACTGTCAATTAGTGACAAATGAACATATAATATTATCCTACTTTCCCTCAGAATAAGATATTTTCTCTTAAATTATAACATCTGAACTGTTGGTAGTTTAATATCCACTACTTTTGCTTAAAAAAATACTGCTTCAAGCTAGTATTCTGATCTTTTATTTCCAGTCGAGTATACAGCTAAGATGACACAGAGCTCCTGTATTTAAGGATAAATAGTAATTTTTGTTTTTATGTAAATAATGCCGGTCAAAATGCTTTACCAAAGAATAAAAAATGAGAGGGTGTCAAGTCGTGAGGATCTATGGAGAGGGGATAGAAGACAGTCTGGGCATGAACGTCCAGCATCTGCCAGTTTGAGAAAAACAGAGCATTCATTCCAGGGAATGGCAAGTATGCAATGTCAATGCCTTAAAACATAGCAAGTTGTTAGAATTACAGGTGATAAATGTATGGCTGTATTTTGACTACAGCAGCATTTTTTCCCCCAGATTCCCACCTATATGCTCAAAAGCATAAGGTTTTACATTTTGAAAAGCGGAGGTCATCAGATTATATGTTGCTTTAACTATTCTCCTGAAAGGGATCTAACATGCTGCTATGTTTAGAAATCCAATATACTCCTGCAGAGAGCAACGTGGGACATTCACATCCACAGCTGTCTCATGGCTTTGGACCACGTCAGAGTCAAGCTGTGTTATGGAAGAAAAGATACCTAGCCACAGAAGTATTCCTGGGCTTTCAACCACGACAGTAGTCAAGGACACGTGACATTCAAATCCCTTTCTTAATTGGCTGGCTCTGAAAGACATGAAGGTGCTACAAACCCCAGTCAGCCAGCCGCTTCATTGTAGGTTTTGAGGTATCAGACACCAGAGGTCAACAGTAAGGGCTGACTTGGTAAAACACTCAGAGTGACTTGGGTTGGGTTTGGATTTGGGTAGGATGTGGGCATAGGATAGAGCAGGAGAGGCTAAGATGGGGACAGATGAGGTTGAAACTTAAAGGTTCAGCTGGTTTTACCAGAGCAGAGCAGATTCGTTTAGTTTGTTATTAATCAAAAGCAAGGGAGACTTCTCTGAAGTTTGTTTGGGGGCTTGGAATCTAAAATTCTGCTTCTAGATGTAAGCATTTCTCCTAGCCTTAACCTAGATGTGTCGTGTTTTGTACGGAAATGAAACTAGACGGAACCTTTCATGGTTTAAATTTCTTTTTTCAAATAGGGATAAGCTGATACGTTTTTACTGCTAAACATCTGAGAACTTAAAAGTTGAAAGATGTAACTATTTTTATATCATACTTCAGAGCATGAAATGCCTTTACATACAAACTTTCCCAAATTTACATTCCAGCTTAAGGTTCATGGTTTAGTTTTTTTTGTTTTTTTTTTTTTGCGGTACGCGGGCCTCTCACTGTTGTGGCCTCTCCCGTTGCGGAGCACAGGCTCCGGACGCGCAGGCTCAGCGGCCATGGCTCACGGGCCCAGCCGCTCCGCGGCATGTGGGATTTTCCCGGACTGGTGCACAAACTTGTGTCACCTGCATCAGCAGGCGGACTCTCAACCACTGTGCCACCAGGGATGCCCCATGGTTTAGTTTTGATCCAAGAAAACCAGACGCTTTCATGAGGACAGCTTCCTCATTTGAAGGCCATGAAAATCACAAATTTTCTGTTTTGTTTTAAATTGAGAGAAAATACTGGGACAGTTTGTTTGAAGAGGGGTATAAGAATCTTGGAAAAGGAATAACTTCCTCAATGATAATTCACATCGTTGGCCACCATATGATGTGTAGCTGGGCTTATGGTACAAATACTGAGTAAAACAATTTGAGATATTTACCCTTTCCTAAAATAGGGTTTGCTAAGTAAATATACCACCTAATTATATGTAAGAATTTAGTCCCACATAAAACAGTTATTTTTTAACTGTAAGATTCAATACAGATTAGAGAAAATGTAATAAACACTGTGATTCTAAGTATGCTTTACATAACTCTGACTTGAGCCTCATGCATTTACCACAGTTGAAAGGAGGAGAATGAAGAAAAATAGGCTTAATTGTTTTCTTAGCTAAGTAGGTAGGCATTTTTTATCCACATAACCTTTAAATCCAAATGCCTTATGTGCACTATTATGTTAAGCTATAGATTTTATCTCTTTATTAGTAAAAATATGTAAACTATAACAAGAAGGAAAATTCGTGATTCTGGGAAACGGCATAAGATGTTATATAACCAACTGGTTTCCAGCCTTCAAATCAGACATTAGTCAAGGAAATAATAATAACCTTAGCCAATGGGAAAAACATCAAGCCAGATTCCTCCCAGCTGTGTTTCTCCCCTCTGTGGCCTTCAGTAACTTCAATGGAAGTTTAGTATGTTTAGGGAGAAAGGTGGCCAGAAGAATCAAAATTATTAAACCAAAAAGGTCAATCTTCAAATTAAGTCTTGGACCACGATCATTTCAAGAATAAGGTTTATCCCTTCCAATGTCCTAGTGCTACAAGCAATATGGCTGACCAACCACTCAATGGGGCTGATATCACACATTATCTTGCCAAAGGGGTGAGTAAAGGAAAAACAGTTGCTGGCTTTGAAATGTACAAATCAAGCTATTAGTGTTTCTTTAGCATTCCTTTTAATTTCCAACTCAAGCTTATGGTGACTGCAAGAGATAGGAAAAATCCTCAGAGGAGGCAGGTCCTTGGATTTAATTCCATATAAACAGAGGGCCAAGGAATTTTGACAAAATTGTTGCTCACAAAAAGCTAACTTTGCCTTTGAAGTTCTTGTGTGTTCCATACTTAAAGTCAGACACCTTTATTCATCCAACCATAGTATGCGGCCTTCAATAATATGATATCATGCTTTATTTTTTTTTAGATTAAAAACAGTCTTTCATAAGATCCCTCTCTGTTATAAAATCATCAGCTAACATGTTTTCAAGGCTTTGCCAAGTACACAATCTGAATTACCTTCACTTTTCAGGCCTAACTGGCCTGATGTAATTTTTTTTTTTAATGACCACAGATGTGCTAATAATGCTTTAGATCAGTTTCTATTAAAAAGAATGGACCACATGAAGTTCTTCCCAACACATTAAGTGAAAAGCTATCTAACCATTATCTGTAGGATTTAAATAAAACCTGTTAATTTTCTCCCTTATTTCCTTCCCAGTTAGTCATTTAGATCCAAGGAGATAAAATATCAATATTATGGTACTGGTCAAAACATCAAGGAAAAAATACTGACATAATTTTTCAATACCCCAGATATTACCATAGAGTGATACCACCCCCACTAAAACCTCTGGTGCTCATTAGCACATCAATGGCTCCAAGTCTTAAGGTTAGATACAAACAAATCAAACCTGCTTAGTGGTGTCTACTCCAGAATTTCTCCAGCCAGCCTGAACACATCACTCCTTTCTCACGTAATTCCTAGTGCCAAACAAACTTTGGGACATACACACCTGTACTTATGTCTCTTTTTTCCTTCTTAACATCATGACTGGCCTATAGTAAAAACTCAGTAAAAGATTTTTGGAATGAATAAATGATAAAATGCAAGGCTGTACTATCAGAGGTTATGTAGATTGTACTGGTAAATTTTGAAATAAAATATCTCTGTCTTCCGTAGTGACCACTGAGTTCGAGTTCATGGAGAATGCCATTTCTTCTGCACATTCAAATGTGGTAAGTTAGGAAAACGTATCTTGAGTAGAAAAAGAAGCATCTTCATGAAATATGAGAAATCTAAAAAGCGAGTAGATGTTAACAAACACAAAATGTAATGCACATTCCAAAGATATCTCTTTATTGTCCTTGTCTCTGTTCAGAATCTTTCCATTATGACTCAGTGGGATTTAGTTCCTGGATGTTTACTCTTATTTAGCATTTAATAGAAATCTTTCTCCACTGGTAGATCAGCATGTAAAGGGGATAGGTTCTTAAAAACACTTTGATGTCGAGAAAGGCTAAGATGCTGAAAGCAGATAGATAGTACCAAATTATACTAGAACTCTTGGCAAGTAGATGTCATGGACACAGGAGTTTGGTGCTGTGATTTTGGTCAGAGTAAACCAAAGATGGTCCAGGATATGACTGGAGTGGTCACAGTGGGATATTTGGCCACAAAGAGACAAATAAATAAATTGTGCTACGAATGAATTCTTTAGAGCTCTACAATTCAAATATCATTTGTAAATTCTTTATTGCTATAAAAAATGGATGATTGGAAAAAAATTTTAAGATACTGCACGTAGTAGCAGACTGCTGAGATGATGGATGTAACAATCCTGAGCATTTGTAAAGTGGACTGCCTAATATTATATATGCATATCTCCATGACATGTTATAACACATGATAATTTATGAGGGAGAAAGCATCAAAATAAAATCAATTGTATATAAACACTCCCTGAATTTAAAGTGCTGGCAACTTCTGCCTCAAGGGGTACTCATTTTCCTCCTTTTTAGCCAGTCATTTTTGAAACACCTCAATTATAAATCCAAATTTTGGTCAGAAATATGTGACTGACGACACCTGAAAAAGGAAAATGCAAGGTGAAAAATATTATTCTTTCTCTGCTGGTATAAGTTGCCAATAAGTTAGTTGCATGTCATTCATGAGCTGATATCATTTGGATTGGTTTAACTTATATCATCCACAAAGGCCGACTGCACTGTTATTTCAGTCAATGGTTGGCAATGCTGAAGAGCAGAAGCTACAGATACGTCTGCTAGATAATCCGGGCCAAACTGTGGCAAGGATACATGTGCTATTATTTATAAAACACTCATGTAAAGCAACTCATTACATTTTGCTGTTTTTGCTTTCATATTCCTCCTTTTTGGACTGTGGACTTGTTCCATCCATCAGTAAACTTGTGGCATCTTCCTTGATTGAAGGTGAATCTGGAGCAACTGTTCTTTGGATAAATGCTGCCAAGGTAGGAGAAAAGAGAAAAATAAACCTAGATGAATAGAATCCCTGGGCTGACAAAATTGTAAGTAATCGCTGCATTTGATCTAGTTTTCTGTAAACTTTACATGGACTAACAAATCTTCGATGTAGGAATAAAATAGTTTACTATGTTTTTAAAAACACATTCATGGGATTTAATTTTGTTTTAGATTTGAAGAGTGAGGGTGGAAGATGTGTGTTTGTTCAGTATATAATGATATTAAAGCATTAATATGCTAATTAATAGCATTAATTCTGCTAAAGCAGAATTTTAGAGGGCGAAATCTTAAGGGCCTCCTTTTCATAGAATCCTCTTTTTTACACAGAAGGAAACAGACTAGATCTGGAATGTAGGTTTACTGTTTTTCTACTACCTCTTCCCTCTCTTCTGAGCTCCAGATGCCTATATCCAAATGTCTATGTCAAACACTCCCACCTGATTTATAATCTCTAATGTCTGCCCATCGCTTGCTCTCTTCATCTTAGAAAATGATACACTCATCCACCCAGTTTCTCAAACCCTGGTTCCTTCTTTCCTTTGGCCGGCCTGCTCGACCCATCCAATTTAAGAGTAAGTTCTGAGGATTCTACCCCCCATTTCACCTGATTCCTTCTGCTTCACACCACCTCCGTTAACCATCAGCCCAGCCCAAGCCACCATTTCCTCTCTTTCTGTTTTCATCTTGCCTCCTTCTCCACACACCAGAATGATCTTTCTAAAAGGTAAATCCGATTATGTCACTCTACTGCATTAACCCTTCCCTCCCCCCACCCCCCCCAGCCTCCCAGCGAAATTAGAATAAAATCCAAACACCTGATGGTGTCTGAAAAGGCTCCACCAGGACCTCAGCTCCCACCACTCTCTCTCCCAATCACTCTCTCCCTCACTCATTCTCACTCTCCCTCCTTCTCTCCCTCCCTCCCTCCCTCTCTCACTCCTTCAGTGTTCCATCTCTCTAGAAGACCATACCCCTTTCTTCTCTGGGGCCTTTGCACTTACTGCTCCCTCTATCAGGAAAACTCTTCCCACCCAATTTTAACTCAGCTGGTTCTTCTTGCCATTCAAGTTTCAGGTCAAGTGTAACCTTCTGATCACTAATATATAGTTCTGGTCCTGGTACCTTCTATGATTTCACCTTTATAGCACCAGTCACCATTTTGCTTGTTTATTGCTTACTACCTGTTTCTTCCATGAGATGAGGTGACCTTTTCTGTCTTAGTCACTACTGTATTCCCCCAGAGCCAAACACAGAGCCTCGTGCATAGTCTCTTAGTAAATGTTGTTTGAACGCGTGAATATATTTTAAGGGATTTCAAAACGATAGTCAACTGGGGATTTTCTAGCTGCTTTCTAGAAAGCATTTATAGAGTACATACCTTGTCAAATCGCAATAATCAGAACTCAATTATTTAAAAATATCTGGCACCTAATTGGTCAGTGAAAAGATAATCACCAAAAAAAATAAAAAAGCACTATCACATACAATGAACCTATAAGATGGAGAGGTAGAAAGATTGTGCTTTCATGAAATAAATAAATCCTATAAAGGACAAGAAATAATATTTTACATCAGCAGTCCCCCAACATTTTATTGCTATAAATCTTTGGCACTTTAGTTTACAAATTTGAGGACAGACTACACATGAAGCATCCATTCAGTTAGCCAGGGGGATCCTGAAGTACAACACAGACGTGAAGAGTATTGCTGTTCTCGCTGTGGTCAAGTCCCATCTGAGGGACTTAAACCTCCACTACAGGAACGTCAGAAAACAAATGAAGAATACTAACTTTTCTTTTTATAGTGACATATTCTGAAGTAAGGAAGTGAAAAAAAGTACTTGTTAGTAACTTTCATTGATTTGCTTTTCTAAGAATATCAAGTTAAATTAATATGTAAGATTCACTTCCAGCTCCTGAAGTAGTCTGCAGATAACATTTCCCCCCCCCCCCATGAAAAATCACTGTCCTTTCTTTTTGGGATTATTTATTTATTTAAATGAACATTATTTACCACAATGTTAGAATTATGGAAAAATTGCAATCTGCATTTATTTTAAAAATTGAGTTTATAGATCCCAACTCCACAAACATTTAGCATTTGAATCTCAAAGAACTCGAGATTTTGAGGAGTCAGCAGTTTACTCCAGACTTCATTCAAACCCAGTCTGGTCCGGGCCCCAGGAGTGAGGGCCCTGTTCTGAGTTGTGTTCCTTTAGCCTAAAAGGAGCTATACATGGAGACCAGTGGTCAGTCACTACTTACAAAAAGTAAAAATGACAGTTTCAAAAGCTGGCATTATGAGTCTCTCTTACTAAGCCCCCACTGTCTACAGGCTGCAGGTAATGGAATCCAAGCCTCCTCAAAGAGTGTCCTGAATCATGGCCATAGCTTCCAGCCAGCCAGGATAAATTTGGTAGTAATCACGGCTCTAAATAATGGATTTCTGTGTTCCTATTTCCAATAGTAATATAAACTTACAATTTATATATTTCTTCCCTTCTTCCTGGCAGGAGGAATCTACCTTTTCTTGAATTGACCTGAACTACACAAAGCTGACATAAATTACTACTTAAAACAAACTTTCATTAATGCTGGATCATTTCAGAGACCACAAATTATGCAGTATTTTCCCATTTCCTTTGTTTTTTCCATGGTCAGTGATTCTACGCTTTCGTCTGGTCACAGTTTTGACAGGGCACCTAAGTCAGCAGAATGAGTGCCTTAGCATCAACAGCACAGACAAAAGGGCCTCATCCAGTACCAATCCCAACCTGAGTAAGAAGGAGCCTGTTCTGTGGGCTCATAAACCCATGTCTGCCTCAGCACCTCAGTTACTCCCCGGGTCTCCACACAGGTCTCAACTGCTCTAAACTCTAACCCCCAGCTTTCATGCTTCATTCAGAGGTTAAGAAAATCCAGTACTCGCTAGTCAGACATAAAAGCTGGGGTTTTCTCAGTAGCGTTTTATTTTTGTAAGATTTCTTTTTAGCCAAAGCGTACATACATACACATATCAAATAGCACCAAAGGGCTACATAGAAAGACAGCAGTCTCTTGCCCCATCCCTCCCAGCCCCACACTCCTTCTCCCCAGACTCAACCGCAATCAACCCTTTATTTTATTTATTTATTTATTTATTTTTTCGGTACGCTGGCCTCTCACTGTTGTGGCCTCTCCCGTTGCGGAGCACAGGCTCCGGACGCGCAGGCTCAGTGGCCATGGCTCACGGTCCCAGCCGCTCCACGGCATGTGGGATCTTCCCAGACCGGGGCACGAACCCGTGTCCCCTGCATCGGCAGGCGGACTCTCAACCACTGATCCACCAGGGAAGCCCACAATCAACCCTTTTAGCTTTATTTTCTGTACTTGCTTCAATTTTTGAAAGAAAAAGCTGATATTGCTATTTTCTGATTTATCATTTTTAGACTTATCCACACCCATCCACTTTCCCTCATCCCATCCTCCCTATATAGTTACATCTGGACTTGTAGTTATGTCAATAGTATTTACATTATTATGACTATGTAAATATGGCTCACACAAACCTAATAGGTCTACTATGACAATGTTTCTTTTCTTGCTCATTTTTTCCTGGAGTTATTAATTGATATTTATTAAAATTCATTAATAAATTAATTTTTGTTTGTTTTTATTTACTCTTTATAACCATTCTCAATTGTTTCTATAGCTCAGTTATACCTATAATAATCATATGTCTATTAGTAGTTTTTCTAAGCACTCAAATGAATCAAATAATCTATCAGTTTGTTTATTTCGTAAAGATTCTCCTGAGGGAATCTTTTCTTTCTTCCTTCACTATGATAGAACTAAAGAATATGAGTGTCCAGATGAAAAGCTCCCCCCCCCAACCCTGCCCCAGCAAATAGTTAGAAAACTCAATAAACCAAGACCCACAGGGAGGCATATCATCACAAAACTCACTGGGGTTAAAGGGACAATCCTAAAAGTTGCTGGGCCAGGGGTGAGGGTGGGGCAGTGGTGGTGAAAAGGATCACGTCAAAGGAATGGGAGTCAAAACAAAAAGACATAAGGTTTTTCAACAGCAACACTGGATTTTGGAAGATGACTGTGCAATGTAATGACTTCAGAAGAAAAGTCCTTTTTAACCTAGAATTTTATAGTCAGCCAAAGTCTCAGTCAAGTGTGAGTGGAAGAAACCCATTCTCAGAGATACAAAAACTGAAAATATTTACCTCCCTTTCTTGGATGTGCTCCCACAAAAGATGTGCAACAGCTGTTTGTTGGGTGAGCCCTCATCATCCGCCCCGCTTCTGGCCTTTGTTCTGTTTTCTTTGTTCTCTCATCCCAGGACTCTCACTAATCAGGTACTGTCCTCCTTGTATTGATTTTCTGAATATCTTATCTTTTCTCTCCTATTGTCCCATTCTTTCTTTTTCCTTATCTTCTACTTTGTAGGTTTCTCAACTTTGTTTTCCACCTTTCTAGTTCATATTTTAAATTTCTGAGACCTCTTATCCTGTGTTCCTTTTTTATAGCATCTTGCTCATATTTTTACTAAATGTACTATTTTCTCGTTTCTCTGAGGGCATTAATGATATTTTTAAGATATCTTCCATTCCCTGTATTATCGAATTACTGTAGGCTCCATTTTTCTCTTTGTTGATCTTGACAGATCTCCTTTTTAATTTTGAAGTTTCAAGAAAAATTACAGGACAGTTTCTATAACTAAGCTGAAATTGTTTGTGCTACAAAAATGGAGAAGTATTCAGGATGATTCTAATTCGCTTCCAAAAATACTACATCATGAAAAAGATATAAAAAATTCAAGGTTCATCAGAAAAGCAAATAAGAATAAACATTATTTCTAGAAATAAGTTTATTAAATCACTTAAAATGATTAACAGTAGTACCTATGATTAAACTTTTTAAAGTAACCTTAAAAACATGGAGGTAGGTATGGGAGGAAAATCATAAAACAAACTTGTCAAAAAGAACAGTAAAACTATGTGTAAATAAATAAATAATTTATCAATAAATTAATAAAGAGGTTTACTTTCTAAGCTAAATTTTCAGTCAGATTGTACAATATAGACTATAATAAGTATTTTCTTATCCAAATTATGTTCTCAATGATATTTTTTCCTATTCTTATTTAACTTTATTTTTTTTGAGCCAGTGTATTTATGTAGAAACCTATGGCAGCTTATAAGTACTATATCTTAGAGAAATGACCAGGGCTAGTCATGAAATGTTACTGAATGAAAAGCTGAATACAGTTTCTTTTATTGCAGTATTAAATAAAATTCTAAAAAATTTCATGTTTTCCCCTTAATGTCTTCTAACCACTTTCTTCTAGGTACCTTTCTAGGGAGCCTTATGAAAGTCATAATGGCAAAATTAAATACCAGTAGAACAATGACCTCTGTGCTCATATCATGGTGCTGTTTATTTCCAGGCTCTTAAATGTCTTAATGGATGGGATATGATGTTTGATGGTGCTCTGTCCCCACCCTCCTCCTCTTCCATGCTTACATACATCAAACAGACCTGAGGAAATTTTTCCATTGCTTAATATGAAAAATAAAAATTTTGTCCTATGTGTATATCACATTCTGAGGTACAGTAACCAAACCTGAGATATGATCCAATTTGAAGGGTGACTGCCAGATTAGAATAGCAGAGGGTTTATGAAAATATATAGAATCACTTGGTAAAATGGTTAGGACAGGAAAGGGAAAATGCTTAGCTTTTGCAATAAAATAATTATGATATAATGGAAGCCAAACCATTTATCAGAAACCAGTAAATATTTATTTGATGACTATGAATATAAATCAGCAAAAATGAGAGTTATCATTTTTGGATTTGACCTACTTCCTTGTGGCTAATTTTGATATTTTATTTTATAGCAGCCTAGTTTTTTTAAATGACAGCATTGTCAAATTGAATGTACAAACTCTATGTCCATGGAAAACTGAAGAGCTAAATGGTTATCTAACTAAGAATCTATTAACATTTGAGTCCCAAATGGATTGGATAAAAGTGGACTTGAAATAAAAAACTTATACACTCATTCATCTAATATTAATTGAGCCTTTACTATGTGCCAAGTTCTATATAGGATGCTGAGGAAACAGTGGTGCATAAAACAGACATCACTCCTAACATCATGGAGTTCACTCTTCGGTGAAGAGAAGAGTCAGTAAACAAAATGTCACTCAAATAGCAAATAATTCCATAATTAGTATGAGAAAGGTTTTAAAGGAAAATTGTAATGCTTTGTGGGCACACATAACAGAAACCATACTTAAAACTGAGTCCTGAAGGCTTCTTTAAGGACATTACATCCAAGGTGAAGCATAAGTGGTTGGAGATGGTATCCTGGGTCAACAGACTCACACTTTGTCAATGTGTGTGACATTTTATCAATATTTACACTGTATTATTCACAGAATGAAATCGGACGATAATAGTTTTCATACCCTTATTCTTTGCACAAAATTAGATATTTTTGAACAGTTCTATGCAGAGATTTTCTACTTTTTGATGACTTGAATTTTATTACAATACCATCTAACTTCCTTACCCACTCATCCATAGTTACTAGCAATCTCCAGGCCAAAAAAAAGTTGCTTAATTAAGATTTTTACCTTGGGTAATTCATTTTCAGTTTTTATGAGAAGTGTAAGGTCTAAAAAGAAGCGATTCCATATATTTTTAGTAAGTTAGGTAATATTATAAATGTACTTGGGTATTATTTGTATGATTCATAATGAACATTTTTTCAAACTTACAACATGAATATTACTATCATGTACTGGCCTTATGCTTTAATCTTTCCATGAGATGCATTTTCTTAAATCCAATTTAAAAGCTGGTACAGGACATCATTACTTACAGTGCAAGTGTGAAAATTGAGGACTAGACAGGAAGCAACTGTGATCCTGCCAAGAGGATGACTGATCTAACCCATGAGCATGGGAACCTTCAGCAAAGTTTCTGTCATCCTAAAAAAGAGAGCACAGCATTTTAGTTCAAATCATTGAAAAATGTAAGGCTTGGGATTCACTTAAATGTACTGAAAATAAAATTGAACCTCAAGATGCCAGCTATGTTACACCACAGTTTAATATAATTATAATCCTTGTAAAAAATAAAATGTGTGGATGTTAAAGAAAATATGAAAAAACGAGAGAGAAGGAAATCATCTGTAGCCATAACAGCATAACATATTTCTTTCCAGTCTTTTTTTTCCTGTGGATAAGATTTGTAAATATTGTTGTAAAACTCTGTTATTTATTTACATTTAATAATATAAACATTTTAAAAGTCATTAACCTTTAGCTTTATGTTACTCATATACTGTCTAGTGAATATATCATGCTTTACTCAGGTATTAGTCTTCTGGGCATTTAGGTGGTTTCCAATGTTTTACTCCTATAAATAACACTATGAGAAATACCTTTAAATATATAACCTTTCCCATATTTAGGTCTATTCCTTATGACAAATTCTTGGGTGGAAATACGGGGTCAGTAAAAACAATTTGATGTTTTTAAATACATTTACCTAGACTGCTTTCCATAATGATTATACAAATACTCATTCAACAAATATTTAATACATAAACCAAAATGAATACAGAAAAGGTCCCTCTCCTCATGGACTGTATGAATGTGTCCTTTTCCCCAAATCTTAGCTGAAAAACGGAATTAGGGAATTATATCTTTGAAAAATTTTACTAATTAAATAGGTTAAAAAACAGGTGCTTTAAGATACATTTACTTGATAAAAAATTGCAATTTTTTTCTCTTAAATGTTTTCTAATTATTTACTTCACTTCATTTTTTCTTTCTTGCACTCATTCATTCATTCAACAATCGTTTATTTGGCACCTACTATATGCTGGTCAAAGGGCAAATAAAACACTGGTGTATATGATCATGAAATCTTCAGGATTGCAGGAGAGAAAGGCATTAAACAAACTATACAAAACACAATATAGTTTAAAACTATGATAAGAGCTATAAGAAGAAGAATGGGAAATAATAGGCAGAACTACATTTAGATTTGGGGTCCAGAGAAGTTTCCTCTGGTAGGTGATATTTAAGGCAATAATTTGAATGCTGAGTATGAATCAATGGGTTAGCCAGATGAAAACTCATAGGTGGAGGACGGAAAAGTGGGAGGTAAGGGGGAGCAGAAGGGTGGTCAGGGAGTGGTGCTCTAGGCTCGTGTGAAGGTGCTAAGAAGGTAAGAAAGAGTTTGGTGTGTTTGAAGAACTGAAGGAAAGCCCATGGCTTAGGCACACTGAGCCTGGGGAAGTGGTTACAATGAGATCCAGAGGTGGGATTTGGATGTGGGTTTCTTCTTACTTAAGTACAATCGGAAGGCAATCAAGGGTTTTGAGGAGAGGAATGACATGCTTTGATTTGTATTTCTCAAAGATTACTATGGCCTCTTTGTGGAAAACAGACTGAAACAGCACAAATGTAGAAGTGGGAATACAAGTTAAAAGACTGTGATTGAGGATGACTGCGGGGTCAAGGGAGAGGAAGGGATCAAGAATGGTGGCAAAGATTCTAGATGAAACAACTGCTGGTTAGGTGGCCTAAACAGATTCTTCAAAACAGTAAGGCCTCATGTAGCATGACTATCTGATGAATTAGTTGTCGTTCTCTGCACTAAGTACCAAGTTTATATTTTATTTCTTTGTCACATATATATGTATGCAAACGCAAAAGAAAGGCCAAAAAAGAACAAGTCTGTGTGCGTGTGTGTATATGTGCACACACACATGCAGACTCACACACACGTCTGTAAAAGACACATTTATTCTGAGCTAAAAGCATGGACATAATCCTAAAATGACTTAAGATCATCAGTTTTCATGTACCAAAAGGGAGTTTAGGTTCATTTAGGATGAAGGCCCTGTGGTTTTTAACCAAGTGATTTATAGTTTTCACTAATTATGAGAATTTCATAAGAAACTGGAAGTCATTCATTGTAGGATTCCTGGAAAGGAAAGGATATGCAGTTGACGCTTGAACAACACAGGGGTTAGGAGCACCGACCCTCTGTGCAGTCAAAAATCCACGTATAGCTTATAGTTGGCCCTCTGTATCCATGGTTCTGCAACTGTGGAGCCAACCAACTGTGGATTGTGCAGTACTGTAGTATTTACTATTGAAAAAAAAATCTGCATGTAAGTGGACATATGCAGTTCAAACCTGTGTTGTTCAAAGTTCGACTGTATTAAACTTCCTCATTTTCTATATATGAAAAAAAGAAATGTGAGTGGTTGAATAAGTCAACAATTTTAAGGGAAAGGGATAACAGTCCTAAATTGTATGTACATATTAACACAGTGCCAAAAATATATGAAGCAGAACTGATAGAACTATAAGGAAAAAATAGACAAAACCATAATTATAGTTGGATATTTCAACGTTCCTCTCTCAGTAACTGATAAAACAGTAGGCAGAAAACCAGTAAACATAAAGAAGACTTGAACAACACTACTGGCCAGCTAGACCTAATTGACATTTATAGAATACCCCAAAACAGCTGATTACAAGTATTTTTCAAGCACACATCCAATATTCTCCAAAACAGACTACATGCTGGGTGATAAAACAAATCTCAATAAGTTTAAGATGACTGAAATTATACAAAGGATGCCATCTAACCACATGGGGTGAAAGAAGAAATCAACAACAGAAGGATATCTGAAAAATTCCCCCAAATTTAGAAATTAAAGAACATATTTCTAAATAGCTCATAGGTGGGTCAAGGTAGAGATCAAAAGAAAAATGAGAAAATATTTTAACTATATGAAAAGAAAAGCATAATTTATCAAAATTTGTGAGAGTCAGTTAAAACAGTTTGGAGGGAAATGTATAACATTAAACGTGTATATTACAAAAGAAGAAACGTCTCAAATTGATAATCCAAGTTTCCACCTTAAGAAACTAGAAAACAAAGAGCAAATTAAACCTACATTAAGTAAAAGGAAGGAAATAATAAAGAGCAAAGATCAATTAAATAGAAAGCAGAAAAGCAGTGAAAAAATGAAACCCATACTGTTATTCTTTTTAAGATCAATAAAATTTAAAAACCTCTACTGAGATTAATTAAGAAAAAAGAGGGAAGATATAAATTGCCAATATTAAGAATGAAAGAGGAATATTACTAGAACATCTATAGACATTAAGAAGGTAATTAGGAAATATTTTGAACAACTCTGCCAATGTATTAGACAACTAAGATAAAATGGGTACAAATAAACAGCCTTAAAATGTGTCATCCATGGGCTTCCCTGGTGGCTCAGTGGTTGAGAGTCCGCCTGCCGATGCAGGGGACACACGTTCGTGTCCCAGTCTGGGAGGATCCCGCATGCCGCGGAGCGGCTGGGCCCGTGAGCCATGGCCGCTGCGCCTGCACGTCCGGAGCCTGTGCTCCGCAACAGGAGAGGCCACAACAGTGAGAGGCCGGCGTACCGCAAAAAAAAAAAAAAAAAAAAATGTGTCATCCAGTATACTTCTAGGCATCTATATTAGGTTAATAAATTAAAAATACGGACAAAGATTTTTATACCAAGATGTTCATCAAGTGACTACTTATAATAGAAAAAAGCTGAAATTAACCTTAAATTTCCAACAATAGGAGATCAGGAAAGTAAAGTATGGTAGAACCATAATGATAATAATGATGATAATAGAGAAAATTCCCACATATACACAATGTTACATGAAAAAAGGAGGAAATAAAATTATCAACAAATGGTGATTTCAATATAAAAAGATATTTATAAGTAAGAGCTGGGAAACATACACCCTTAAATTACACAAATAGGTTTTTAAAAATATTTGTTGGATTATTTATTTTCTTGTTAATTTTTTTTGTATTTCCTAAATATGCCATATTTTTAACTGTCATATGCCAAGAAGCTGGTTGTATAATTAAAAATATAAGTGGTTCTTTTTCTGGTAACAGAAAAGATATAATCTATGGTTTGATGCCAGTTGATTTTGTTTTAGAAATTTAAAACCATACCTTGGGAAGAGCGAATAGGATTTGACTATCCTGCGTACTTCATCCTTCCTCTGGGAGGCACATTTTGAGGATGTCATTGCGCCATCTGCTTCATTCAGCAAGATGCCCAGACTTACACCTCCACTCCTGTCCTTTCTCACTGTCTTTCTCAGCCCAGGTGTCAATGGGCAAAATGTGAGTGTTTGCTTTTCCTTATTTTTTCCTTTCTCTTACTGGCCCATAATCAACTAAGCATCTCTTAGCGGGAAACCATAGATTACGCTTTTCTCTTTCACATTTTATATAGGAACCACGATTAAGTGGAGATTTCTAGCATTGATTGAAAGCATAATTCTCCTTTCTATCTGTGTATCTTCCAGCTCCACCCAGGCCTTTAGTATGGCACATCTGAACTATAATAGCCAGATCCACAGCTCTGCCTCTAGTTGGCCCATGTCAACTCATTCTAAAGTAGCTATTGGAATACACCTGGGACTCAATGAACAGTTGACCCTTAAACAACACAGGTTTGAACTGTGTGTGTCTAGTTAAACACAGATTTTTTTTCAATAGTAAATACTATAGTTCTACATGATCTGCTATTAGTTGAACCCAAGGATGTGGAAATGTGGATGCGGAACTGTGGATGTGAAGGGCTGACTACAAGTCTGATTTTCCACTGCATGGAGGGTCGGTGCCCCTAACTACCGAGCTGTTCAACGGTCAGCTGTATGTCTTTAAGTTCCCAAATTTTCTAAGTCTTCAAAAGACTGTCAGAATCCCCAATGCTACCTTGAAAGATAACTAATGAAATGAACCCTGAAAGAACATACTAAAAGAAAAATATTTCACGATCCCTTTGAACAATCAACATATCAGAATATGAAAACAATATCTTCATATTCTCCAATTATACATTGATTAACTTGTGGAATTTCTATCTAAGTAAAGTTTACAGGGTGACCATAAGATG